AGGGCTGGAAAGTCTAAGATACGTCAAAAAGAAGGACCCCGAAAAAAGGGAGGGAGAGAGAGAGAGAGAGAGAGAGAGCGAGAGAGAGACCCGAATCACATGGAAATCACCATTGACAACTATCTTGAAATGTATTCTGATACTGTGTGTCGCTTGAGTGACAATAACACGCATTAGTTATTATCACTAAATAGGACAATATAACATACGCTGATCCAGAAAGGGGGGGGTTCTCCTCGTTTTTCTAGGGTCTCTCCAAACATGTGTGTTATTTTTAGGCACTCTGTTTTTGGTGCCAGATTCATTGCACAAATTGCGGGAGCGCAGATGTTTAGAACATGCGTTTTCCTTTGTTGGGTTCTCACTTCAAACAATAGTGGAAGTAGACACGGCGCTTCCAGCAAAGTCCAATACCCTCCTGTCAGCTTCCATAGTAGGACAGATGGTACTTTGTTGTTCTCCTTTACCCTTAAGCATACTTGTATAGTCCGTATGTACGGTTTTGTTCTTATCGGGTTTTGAACAGGGGTGTGTTGCCAGATTTTTCACCTTAGCCCTGATCCAAATCCACGGTTAAGGCCCCTTTCCTTGGTGGTTCCCATTCGGTTCTTTAGGTTTTAGCTTTTTGGTTGGGTTCGTGGTTGGGTTTCCAGTTAACCCACGATTTCCAGTTAACCCGCGAAAAGTTATACTTTTTGCAGAGGATGAACACGGACCGCCCAGGTTCTGATGTCCATTTCCCCTTGTGCCGTGGTCTTGGCGAACATTTCACACACCGAATTGCCATTTGAGCATGAACCCTCACCATCTTCCCATGTGGCAAGGTTCCTTGAGGGCTGGGGTTACCAGACATCCAAAGGGAGCACCGAATCGAAGCCTTGCCCCTGAAGATCACAGCCGGTGTGGCGGGGAAACATCTTCTTCCATGGGGAGCCTCATTGCTTAACCCGGGACACATTGCTTGACTGCTATTGGGTTGGATCTTTAGACTTTAACTTTTTGGGAAATAAAGGTGTTTTCCACTAAACTCCCAAAAAGTTAACTTTTTGCAGGGGGGTCAACAGCAACCCAGATTGATGATTGGAATCCTGCTTTTGTCTTTTGCTACAGGGGAACACCAGACATTAGATGCTCTGATGTATCTCTGTTTTTTCCTTGGTGTTCATTGAGGTCAAGCCAATTTCCTTGGGGCCTTCCCGTTTGCTGACTCAGCTCCCGTTTCGCTGTTCGATGCGCTGGCACTCTTTTCGCAGGACCGGGACGGCCGATTGACCTTCTCCGAGCCGGAGCCCAAGTTCAGCGCTTCGCTGTTGTCTTGAGCCCTTCGGGAGAAGAATTGCAAACCTGGCCTTCCTGCATGTCAAAGTTTCCGCCTTTTCGCCCTAGAAGCACTTTGTTTTTCGCGCCACCGGCAACAAAAAAGGTGTTTTTCTTTGGCCAACGCCTAAAACTTTTTGCCCCCCGGAAGGTCCAGGAATGGGTTGCGCTATGTCTGACCCTGCCTTCTTGTCATGTGTGTTTTTCCTTGCGTTTGGGTTCTGTTCATTGATTACTTGGGGACGAGAACAACGTGTTGGTGAGATGTCCTTGAATGGAAACCCAGTCCCTTTACTCACTTGCCGAGATTCTAAGGTGCTTGGCTTAGTGGCAATTAGCAAGTTCTAACTTGTTTGCCAGGTCACTCAAGAAGTGACAACATGTCCAATGTTTCTCCAAATCCATAGATGAAGTCAAGACAGACGAGATTATGTTTGACCGAAGGCCCTTGGTGGAAACTTTCAGCGACGTGTTGGAGCTCTCAGATGTGTCCATTCAGGCAAGGAATCAACAAACAGTTTCCCTGACTTGGTAGGGTGGTTTCTCATTTTCCGTTAACAAGCACAAAGGGTTCAATGCCCCTTGCAATCCCCTACACCACAAACAGCCAAGAAAGGATAAGATCAGCCACAACCAGATGACACACCACAATGGCATGATCCATAAGAAATCTTTCTGAGGTGGCTTGGTCTAACTTGCAACTATGTCTGTTTAAAGCAGCAAAGGGAGCATATTTGAGGGACGTCTACTTACTTGTTGGAACTCCCAGATCCTTTATGTTTAACAAGACAAGAAGAAAACCATCTCCTTTCTTCATCCAACTCAACTAGTGCAAGCAAATTGAGACTCACTTGCATCTTTCCCACCTGCATTCCCGAGGTTCCTGTGCCTCGTCCACCTGGTCACCTGCCTGTTGCGCGGGGCGCCGGTGGCGGAGCTGGAGCGACCTGGGGGCCTCCCGGCGCCGCTGCAGGCGGCGCTCGCGCGGCTGGAGCCCTTGGAGCAGCTGGCGCGGGAGCGCGAGGAGAGCCGCTCCCGCAGCGCTTCCCCGGCGCCCACGGCCATCGGCGCCGCGGCGAAAACGCGGGGGTTGGGGGCAACGTTTTGGGGGGGTTTTGAGGGGTCAAGGTCTTGGCAACCAAAAATAGGCTCAGGTGACATCCCCAACATGCGGCGCTCTTTTCGATCGCAGAACCTTGCGAAACCTTGCCTCGGAACCCCCGCAAAACCCTGCAGAATCCTTTCTGCGGAGCCTTACCTCAGAGCCGCCCCGGACTACCCCGACACCTCCCAAACCTCCAAAGCCTGCTACTCCAGAACCTGGCTCGGGCCTCACACCAGAATCCCAAACCAAACAGGAGTGTCCGGTAGCTGCTCAAACCTGACACACCTGGCCTGCACCAAAAACCTTGCTCGAACCTGACTCCAAACATCCCCGAGCCACCCCCAAACCTTATCTGGGCTGAGACCCTTTAGCTTGTCAGCTGTTGGAGAAAAAGCGATTTTCGGGTGGGGGGGGGTATTCTTCCATTGTCATTTGCAGAATTGGTATACCTCAACAGTACATAAGATAGGTACATTTTGGTGGCATGGGTAACGCTTGGCATGGGTGCGTTTTTTTGGGGTTGGTTGGTTTAGGGTGGCCTTTTGCTTCAAGCCAAAGCCCAAGAGAAGATTCCGGCACCAGACCCCCATGTTGAACGAAGAGGTGTTACTAAACTCTCCTTTGGGAAGGCTTCAATGGAATTGCGGGTGGATGTTGAATGGGATCAAGCCGAACCCCCTCAATTCCTCTGAACTCAGCTGAATTGGTTATATGGACTCACGTAGCGGGTATAAAGAGTAAAGCAATTGTCTGCCGCAGCCACGTCAGTTTAAGGTGTGGCGTAGTTGGATGGGGGAGCAGCCGTGCCCACTGTGTGAAGGTCGGTACGGGACCTTCCGGTGGTGCACGGTGTGTAGCTCCCTGGAACAGCTCCGTTTCGCTGTCCTCCGTGGGTTTGAGCGGGAGGACAGCGAGGAGCTTGGGAGGAGAATCAGGGATTTCTCCTCGACCCTCCTGTCTTGGGGCGCTCGGCTCCAGAGGCAGCGGGAGGGTCGCACTTTCGATCAGGTCAAAGCCGGTGGTGCTGGACCTTCTGTGCCCGCTGGGCTAGGGACTCTTAGGCCGGCTGAGCCCGCTGGCCCCCCTCCGGCAGGAGGGGATCTGGAGGGGACGCACTCGGCGTCCTCTCCTGCTACCACCTCCAAGGCCGCTCCGGAGGTGCGAAGAGTTTCCCGCACGCCAGAAAGGCGGAGGAGAAAAGAGAGCAAGAGGAGCCGCAGCTCAGGGATCCCCCTCCCCCTGCTCCTAGGCCCCGTTCCCCTGCGGAATTGCCTGAGGAGGTTCCGGAGTTGGGTGCCAGGAGGAGGGAGGCGAACGAGGTATCCCTCACTGAGTCAGAGGGCTGCTGTGATAGAGAATGGGGAGAACCCTCCTAGGCGCCGTCGCCGTGTGGGAGGAGGAGAACTGGTGCTGGCCGAGCTCGATATGGTCGGGCTGGGGATACTGGATGGAAGAAACTTCTGTTGTGGGAGTAGTCAAGGGTGCCCGCATTGAGGGGTCCAGTGCTTATTTGGACCTCTTGGTGGAGGGGACCCGATCCGGAAGACTCCTGGAGTATGTCTCAGGCACTCCCGAGGGGCGCATTAGGCTGCATGTGTGTCCGCCGGAGTGCGAGCAAGAGCTTTGCGAGGATGGCCTGGTACATGGTCGTGTGTTTCGCGAAGTTGTGCCCACTGAGGCGTGGATGTCGAATGCGTGCAGGGTGGAGCCCGACGAGAATCGTGCTCTTCGTGAAGAAGCAGAGAAGCTAAGAAATGCAGGAGCGGCGGGAGCTCATGCTCCTGATGAGAACTCCTATGAGCCCGAGGCGGGGGACTTGGAGGCGGATCGGAAGAAAAGGAAGGAGGCGAAGGAGAAGAGAGGAAAGAAAAAGAAGAAGAGGGTTGTGCTTGAAGGTAAGAAGGCGTTGAAAGATGTGGTGGGGTCCACGGGATTGGACCCGGACCCTGAGGTGAGGAAAATCTTGTTGAAGCGAGCATCCCGGGCAGTAAGGAAGAAGAGGAAGAGGTCAGATGATAGCTCGGGGAGGGCCTCATCGTCCTCGAAGTCTGAAGAGGAGCCTGAGGAGCTGTTCGGATGCAGCACGAGGCCCGAAGAGGTGGGCCGCCGCTTCCCAGGCGTGTTGGCGGCTGAAGGAATCAGGGAGATGCGAGCCAGCCTCCTGAAGAACACGGGGCAGTTGTGGGATTTGGAGGATGGCCCACTTCCTCCTCTGAGCACCATGTACTTCAGGCAGACCTTAATGTCGAAGATGGCACCTCCGATGGCTCGGGAGACCCACACCCTGTGCTACGGGTTGGATCTCCTGTTGCAAGGCCGGGCTGCAGAGCTAGGCGACCTTTTGGTGCAAAGGATCAAGAGCCTGGAAGGCGTTGCTGCTGGTCTTCACTATTCGGTGATGCAGAAGATGGAGCTCCTGCCCATGGATGCATCCCGTGTGGCGCGCTATACCGAGGTGCATGATGCGGCTAGGGTAGCACGTGATGAGGCCCGAGCTTTGTCTGCTGGCTCGCGGGCACAAGGAAGAGGAGGTTCAGATTCCGGTTGGGTGCCGTATGGGCCGCGAGGCAGAGATGAGAAAGGTGGTGGAAAAGGAAAAGGTGAGAAGGGGAAGGATAAGGGTCGTGCAAAAGATTGGCCCAGGAAGAAGGAGGAGAAGAAGTGATGACGAGGAGGCATTCGGGAGAGGGCTCCGCGTTGGAGATCTCTCCTGGGGGAGCCGGGGAGGCGGTCGACCGTGAAGGTCCCCCTCCTGGGCGCCCTCTGGCCGTGCAAGAGCGGCTGAACGCTATCAAGCTGGGGCTCCCGGGGTTAACCTTAGGCGAGGCTGGTGGATGCTTGGTGGATTTGCTAGATCTTTTCCATGTTGGAATGTTGCACTGCAAGTCCCAGCCCATGGAAGGGAAATCCATATTTCCTCTTCCCCTAGCAATCCCTTCCGAGCTTTCACCCGCCAAACATGCGCTGCTGTCCGCAGTGTGCCGGAGTCTCAACTCCCTTGCGGGATGCACAGACCCGCAAGGCCGGTCATCGCACGCTGGACGCATGGCCGTGAAACAACTCGCGGCGGCCGTTGAGGTTTGTGAGAGTTGGGTTGAGGTTTTTCAAGATGTGAACTTTTCGGACTTCCTGAGGGTCAAAGGCATTGACTACAAGGGGGATGAGGTGAAACTGGCTGTCAACCTTAGTTGGGAGCGCCTTGCCCCTGCTCTCCCGGATGAAGTAGGGAAACTCAACCTGGCAGAGCTTTGCACCCTTGGAACCCGCTTTTACGTGGACCATTTCGAGGACTTCTTGGTTCCTTCAAATGAGACGAGTCTAGGCAAGCCTCCTCGAGTTTTTGCCGATGCCGAAGAGTGGCCTGCTATTTGCCAAGGCTTGATGGATAAAGGGATCTGCGAGGTGGTGCCTGTGGATGAGCTGTTTCACATTCAAGGTCAACCCCTCCTGAATGGCATGTTCGGAGTTGGAAAAGGCGAGTTTGTGAACGGGAAGGAGACACTCCGGTTGATCATGAACTTGATCCCTTTGAATAGAATCTGCCGAAGTGTTTCCGGTGACGTGGGTACGTTGCCCCAAATTTCGGGGATGTCCGCCTTCGTGTTGGAGGGGTCCGAAGTGGCCCTCCTGTCGTCTGAGGACATCAGATGCTTTTTCTATCTTTTCCAGGTTCCCCCCGCGTGGAAAAGATTCCTGGGGTTCAACAAGGCTGTCCCAGAGGACCTCGTTCCCTCCTCCCTTACTGGGAGGAAGTGCGTTCTTGCCGCCAAGGTCCTCCCTATGGGGTTCCTTAACAGTGTTAGCATCGCCCAGCATGTGCACCGTAACGTGATTAGGAGCGTGGACCCCCTCCTTTTGACGGGAGATCAAGAGATCCGCAAAGACAAGAGTTTCCCTGCGAGCTCCCGCCTTTTTAGGATTTACCTCGACAACTTCGATTTCATCCAGAAAGTGGACTCCCAGTTGGCCTTCAGGCTGGAGGGGAGGGAGAGCCCGGAACAGGAGGCTGTCAGGAAGGCCTACGAGTCGGCCTGTCTGCCTCGGCATCCCAAGAAAAGTGTGGTTAGTGCTGAAAGGGCAGAGGCGCAGGGCGCTGTCGTCAGAGGCAAAGAAGGAGTGGCTTATCCCCGCCCGGAGAAAGTACTTAAGTACATGGGTCTAGCGGTGGAGCTGATTGTGTGGGGCCGAGCTGGCCTCAAGCATCTGCAAGTGGTCGCAGGAGGGCTGGTGTACATTGCTATGTTCAGGCGCCCGCTGTTTTGTGCCCTCAATTGCGTGTGGCGTCACATTGAGGTTCTGAAGCAGGGAGGTGGCAAGCCTCAGCTTCTACCTCCTGCCGTGGTGGCCGAGCTGGTGCGTTTCTTGTGTTTGGTCCCTCTGGCACAACTGGACTTCCGAGGGGAGTTGGTGGGAGATGTCACTGCAAGTGATGCGTCCACCACTGGTGGGGGTATCTGCGTCACGGAAGGCCTCACGAGTTATGGGGTTCATGCCTCCCAGGCCAGTATCCGGGGGGAATGGCCTGAACCCCATGATATGTGTCAGGTGTTGACTGTAGGCCTTTTTGATGGCCTTGGAGCTCTTCGCTTGGCTTGTGATGCGCTTGGCTTGCCTATGTGTGGGCACATTTCCGTTGAATCACACGCCCCGGCCCGCAGGGTTGTCGAAAGTTTCTTCCCGGGTACCGTGATGTGGGATGATGTCCGCACTGTAACTGAAGAAGTCGTTCTGCAGTGGTCAACCCAGTTCTCCTCGGCAGGAGTAGTGCTCATAGGAGCCGGACCCCCTTGCCAGGGGGTCTCCAAGCTGAACGCGGACAAGAAGGGTGCTTTGAAAGATGCACGAAGCTGCCTCTTTGCAGAGGTGCCCCGGATTACCGCGCTGATCCGCCGATGTTTCCCCTGGTGCCAGGTGAAGTTCCTCATGGAAAGTGTTGCATCCATGGACGACTGTGACCGGCATCACATGAGTGAGGCCATAGGATTTGGGCCCTGGCATGTTGATAGTGGTCAGGTCAGTCCTTGCCGGCGTCCTAGGCTGTACTGGGTCGATTGGGAGCTGGGTGGTGGCGAAGGAGTTTCAAAGCCGAGACCGCCTGGTTGGTATACTGGCTGTTCTTCCCGTTGGGACTGTGTGCGCCGCGGTCTTTGCAGGACATCGTGAAGAGCCTCACGCCCGGATGGTCTCCTACTTTCCAGGGAGTACTACTGCGGCCCCCTTTGAGGGCTGTCAGGGGCACCAAAGTTGATGCATCGTTGCAACTCGTAAAGAAGTTCCTTGGGGTCATTTCTATAAAAGGGGAAGATCTGCTGCTTCAGGCTTCTACCGATGTCCATGTCCGGTTCCACAGGTTGCGAGCATCTATCCCCAGCAGATTGTGGCGGTGGAAAACTGTGGCGGGATGGACTTGGAAATCACATACGGACCACATCAACGTTTTGGAATTGCGCGCCATCCTGAGCTCGGTCAAGTGGCGCCTCGAGCAGCGTGGACAGATGCACAAGAGGTGGATCCATCTCACTGACTCTCTGGTTTGCCTGCACAGCCTTTGTCGTGGCCGCACGTCGAGCCGCAAACTTCGTAGAACCCTAACCCGAATCAATTGCTTACTCCTCGCGACACGCTCCCAGCCCCTATGGGGGTATGTGCACACGCACCAAAATCCGGCCGATAGGCCAAGCAGGAGGGGTGTCCGCCGCAAATGGTTAAAGCAATGAAGCACGTTGAAGGGAGGTCGCAACGGGAGCGAGCAAAGATTCGGAAAGATTTGGGTTCACTCAAAAGTTTGACTGTGCAGCCAGCTACGCGTACCAGATATGAGAAAGCCCGGACGCGTTTTTTAAAACATTTGCGAGATGCAGGGATCGCAATTCCAAAGCAGAAACTTTTAATGGATGAGTTGGTCTCCGATTATATCGAGACTCTGTGGTCCCAAGGAGAAGGCAGGGCTTTGGCTTCGGATACCCTAGCCGGACTGCAAGATTTGGACCCCAGCCTCCGCCACCAAATGCCCCAAGCATGGCGCCTCATGAAGGCGTGGAACAGCAATGAGATACCAAACAGAGCTCCTCCGTTCCCAGAGAGCCTTTTAAAGGCCATGGTGGGCCGATGTCTGTTCAAGGAACACCACAGCATGGCCCTTTCTCTGCTTGTGGAATTTTATGGCTTGCTACGCACTGGAGAGTTGCTTAGCATTCAAGCTCGTCACGTTTCAGTGAGTGCGGATCACAAAACCGCGGTTATTTCGCTAGGTTGGACCAAGGGAGGCAAACGTCAGGGAGCTGCCGAAAGCTGCACAATCACCGTATGGGATGTGGTGCGGCGTCTTGAACAGTGGGTACTTTCAGTGCCCGGTGGCTCCTATATGTGCGCCTCCCCGTCTACCTGGCGAAAAACTTTTAATCAGCTCCTGGCTGATATTCGAGTGACTGAGGTTGAGTTTCGGCCGTACAGCCTGCGCAGGGGTGGTGCAACCTTTTGGTTCCAACGTCATGGCCAATTTGACAGGTTGTTGGTCCAAGGTAGGTGGCAGGCAGCGAAGACTGCCCGCATTTACCGAAACGAAGGGCTGGCAATGTTAGCCGAGATGAGGTTCTCTCAATCCCAACTGAGTGCTTGGGTTCGATTGTACCAAAACGCACTTAGAAGTGCGCTGCCGAGGCTCGAGCGAGCGTCTAGACGCAGTACAGGGGGACGTGGAAAGAGGTCGAAAAGAGGGAAAAAGGGGTGGTGGCTAGGCTGTTCTGGAGTTTCTTTTTCAAACGGCCTCGAAATGGCACCTGAGCGCCCTAGTTTCTTCCGGCTTGGCGGAAGAGCTAGGGGGGGTGCGGGGGGGGATTTCCTCTTTCTTCGGCTTGGCGGGAAAGGGAAATCCTGAGGCCCCCAGTTTGTCAAGAAACGGGCAAGGGGCCCTGGGCTAGTTAGCCACCACTAAGAGGACGTAACTTTTTATTTATGACAAAGTTGGACTTGCTGTGCGCAGAAAAAGTGCTGCTTACTCTTTATATATATATATATATATTTCTCTTTTCTGATCCACTGGTGGTTTTGCCAGAAGCAGGGTTTTCTCCTAGCGACCGCCTCCAGTCCTTCAGAACTGGGACAAACGTCGCTTGAGCCTTGTGGCAAACGTTGGCCGCAGGAGCGGCGCTTGCCCGCCCCGAGGGAAAATGGGGTAGCCGTTCCAATGTGATGGAACCTGGCTGATGAACAAATTCCCTACGCATGAGGCATTTCAGGTTGGCGCAGTGTGTTTTGGTATTCACTCAGTAGATACTTTCCATGGTCAAAGGACCCCTTGCGCAGGAGATGGACGGCCGTGGCAAGGATTTCTCTAAAGGAATGACCATGGTCCGCGCGAGGAGTTTTGACCGCACAGAATGCTTTCGCAACCCGAAACCGGCAGGGGTGTGGGGAGTGGCGCTAGCCCAACTCTCATCATAAAGTACGGACCGCCTCAGGCAAAACGTCAGGGACGCTCGGGCGCCCTAGAGAATCAAGGGACCCCCGAACCCTTTGGGAATGGATTTTCGGGGCAAGAATCGCTAGGACTTTCTTCTTTTTTTTTTTTAAGGTACCGCAGCAGTTTGGGCTCCCCCGATTTGTTTTTTGGCACATACCCCGCTCGCGAGTTTCGGGACGCCCGGTGGAGCCAAAGGTTTGGATGCTTTGGGCGCGGATGGCGGCCACGGTCGCAGCTTGCCCCAGGCGACGTGGAGAGACGTGGGGGGAGGGTTCGGCGGGGAGCCGCTCGCCTTTCTGCTACAAAGCAAACCAAGGCAGACGGCGCACCCTTAGTGATGTGTTGCTTGTTTTCCAGATCGGGGTGCCATGCGCATCTGCGAGATGGTGCAAAAACTCCACGGGTGGCTTTCCCCATGCTTTTCAGCCACATTGTGCCCTGAGACAGCGGTTTCCTCTCTCCAAAATGCTGCAAAGGAACTGGAGTTCGCAACCCCCAGAACTGGAGTTCTGGAGTCTCTAAAAGTATTAGGTACGAGAAATTTGTGGGTTCCTGGGGGAGCCTTACAAAACCCCCCCTAGTCACCACAACCGGCGCACGTCCGCCGCTCACCCGCAGCCGCTGTAGGTGAGCCTCACGCCGGAGCCGGAGCCCCGAAACTTGGACGACGGCGGCTTCGGAGGCGCGGAGGGAGCCGGGGAGCCGCGGGCGAAACGAAGTGGCTTCATACTTCCAGCTGGCTGTGGCTCAAAAAACCGGTACCACAATGGAACCCTGGTAAGTGGAAACATGGACCAAAACCTGCGTAACCCCTCCTATTTAATTTGGAGCCACACCCATCTGGTGAAGAGTATTTTTTGATTTCCCCCTGTTGGTTTTAAAGAGAATCTACCACTACTGGAAATATGTTCTATTTTTCCAGGGGACTTGAGCAAACGGAGGCATAGGTGTCGCTTCCCCGCCGTCCAGTTCCTGATCTTGTTAAGTTGCTTAGTTGGTTTTCAGTGGTTGGGTGTCCATTCAACGAGCTAAAAGTTAAGCTTTTAGCAGGATCTGAGGGGACCAGCCCTTTTACTCAGTCGCACAAGGCGAATCCACCCTTTGACCTTTTGGTTTCCACTTCTGGGTCCATTTTTAGTCAAGGTCTCAACAGATGAACCTTTGTTTTTGCCAGGTCCTTTAGGCAAGTGAGCTTGGGTTTTTGGTTGAGAATAGATGGCCCTGGTTGCATTTTGGTTCTAATCATCTAGCAGTGCCATTGCCGCCAGGCCTTTGTTTCTGAAAGGCACATCTTCGGGCTTCCAAGCTTTTCCTGTTTGCCCTGGGGTCTTACTTTGAGAACAGGGAGGTTGTTCAGTGTATCCTGTCCGAATCCTGTTTTTCCCGAAGGCATTGCGAAGGATTCTTCCAGTAAAATCATTAGCTTTATCGCGCAGGAAGATACGACAGAGTACATGCACTGCACGATGCCGAGAGCCCATCCATAGCGAGAGACTCGAGAGCACGCGCGCACATGATGCACTAGAGCCCGTGCTTTGTAAGAGACTCGAGAGCCCATGTCGAGCACACATGCAGAGCAAGAAGAACGAGAGCCCACACGTAGCAAGAGAGACAAGAGCACGCATGCCCACACTCCCACACACAGACACACAAACAACGGCCAGCAAATTTGTTGGGTTTTCATTAAGTATGGCACCTGTCAAACCCCGGCAGAAAGTTGGCAAATGCTTTCCAGCGGTTTTCCTTGACCAGCTGACCGTTTTCTACCCTCGTGGCGGGTCGAATGAGAGCGATTTTGCAGGTGTCTCGTGAGGGCTCAGACCACTGGAGGGAACACCTCTATGAACAGAACGGGTTGCTCATGGTTTTCTACCGACTCAGTTGCCCAAAGCCGGCCTTTTGATATTCTTCGTGCTTTGGTCCACAGTCAAGGTCACAAAAGGTCGACCTTTTATATCCTTGCGGTCCTTTGGTCAAGTGAGCCAACTGGGTCACCGCTTGCTACCATCGGGCGGCCCGCGGCCCATCGTCTCGAGAGGCCTCGCGGACCTCGGGAATGATGCCGCGGCCTCGAAGTTCGAAGACTTTGGGCAGTTCGAGACGGAAGGCTTTGGGGAATTTCCGGAGAAGGAGAAGAAGGAGAAGAAGAAGACGCAGGGCAATATGTTCTGTTTTTTCTTCAGTTGTTTGTTATGATGTTGTGGTGTTTGTTTCCGTAGCATGTTTTGTGGTTGAACCAGAAAAAGATGCATGGATTTGCTGGAAATGACTTTTGCTCTTTGTGGGCATGTGTGTGTGTGTGCCCATTCGTAGATGTGTGTCCCAAAATATTGGAGAGCAAGAAGGTCTTAATGCCTGGACACGGTCTGGCATCTTCATTGCAGACGCTCAGGACTTGCCGCCCTTACTCTCCCAGCCATGCAACTCGTTTGTAAGTTCTTCGGGTTGGTCCTGATCCAATTGATAGGCATCACGACCCGCGCTCTAGCTAGTACTTGGTCGGATGGGGATGCCATCTGCCCCTGCTGCCACGAAAGTGAAACCATCACTCACCGTGTCCTTACTTGCGTCTCGCTCAAACAGGAGACAGTTGCAATATGGGGAGAAAATCTCCGCGATATCTCTGATACCTCTCCCTAGGGATGTGAGAACTACTTGCCGCCACTTTTCAGGCCCTCTCCTCAACCCACGGATCGGAGAGTAAATGTCCCAGGATCGACGTCCCATCAATGCTCCTTCGCTCTGGCGGCACAAGAGCTATTTGGGAAGAATTGTGACCGGATCTAGCCGCTAAGGGAGCGGTGGAACAGGACAGTGCAGTCGAGGGCTGTTTAAAAGCAAGATCAAAGGAAAACAGGATGCCCTTCATTTTTGTTGCCCCCTGTATTTGGCCATTGCGACTATAGGTGCTTTCTTCCACACAGCTCCCCAAATGTCGGAACCAACCAGATGCACCCCAAAATCCCGAGCCCTTGCCTTTTGACTGGCTTCCCATTGGGAGTTCGTGACGCGTATGGCGTCACTCTGGGCTTCACTGGGCTCAACGCGGGGAGGCTCATGTCGTTATGTCGTTCCGCGTAACGTGTGCGAAGGGGCCACGGATCCACTATATACATACCCCGACTGAAAAAGAAATATGAGCAGCCTGAACAGCCTTCGCACTCTTTTAGCAACTGCAGCTCTCTGCCATGGTACAAAAAAGGCAAACACTTGTACGGTTTTGGCGTGAGCTTCGGGTTCAAAGGACACCCAGATTCTTGTGAAGAGAGGTTCTATCCCTCCTCGCAGATAGCCTCACTTGTGCAAAGGCCCTTGTCCACTTCCTTCACTTGCCAAGAGTTCCACCACCACTTGCAGCCCACGATGTCCTCAGCCGAGACGGCCCTTTGTCGCCCGCGCCCCGCAAGCTCGTACGCAGCTTGCGCGAAGCTATGCGCAGTTTCTGAGGAATAGTCTTCCAAGCGAAAAGTTGATTTTTGCAGGGGGTCCCGGTGTCCTGGCTTCGGGGTTGGGCTTTGACCTGACTAAGAAGTTTGGTCAGCTAAGGAAGAAGAAGGACAAGGCCAAGGACAAGCTGGACTTCGACACAGATGTGCAGAGCCTTTGATTCCCTTTGCAGTGCCAAACAAACTGCGGCTGTCGGAGTTAGTTCGGTTGGATTGTTTAAACCAATTGCTTAGAGGTTAAGCGAGCTTATCTATCATGGTTGGACTTTAGTGCGACCTTCGCCCTCCAGTCCTTTTTGGAACCATATTCTTTTCCGTTAAACCTACGAAAGGATAGACCTTGCTTCGTGGGGGCAGAGCAACCCACTCCTTTATTTGGGGTCCCTTGTTTCCGGTTTCTGGTCAAATGCCCAGATCCACCCTTCCACCAGCAAACGTGGGAGCGGGCAGAACCCTTTTCCAAGAGGCAAGCCCTTTTCCGAAAGCAGCCTGTGCACTTCCTGTTTGTTTGGTGCGAGGGTATGCAAAATCAGGGAACCTCCCCTTCAGCAGGAGAACATGCTGTTGCAAAGGCCGATCCACGAAGTTCCAGGGACCCGGCCGGAGACACCCGCATGTTTTTTTCTTTTTCCCCCAGATAGCTGGAAGCTACTTGGGTTCTAACTTCTAATAAAGAGGGGAAAGTGATTTGCGAGATTGATGGCTAGGTGCTGGGGGGCATGCAGTTTGGGGTGTTTGGGGTGCTGGTGCGTGTGTTGTTTCCGGGTGCTGGTGGCGGTGCGGGCGTTTTGCGAGATTGACGGCCGGTGCTAGGTGGCATGCAGTTTGGGGTGCTGCTTGGGGTGTTGTTTGAGGTGCTGGTGACGGTGCGGGCGCATTTTTGCGAGATTGACGGCAGGGTGCTACGAGGCATCAGTTTGGGGTGCTGGCGCAGGTGCAGTTTTTCGCTATCTGGGGTGTATGCTGGTGTATTTTTGTTGTTTTTTATTGTTTCCCCCGTTTTTGATTGGAAGGGCAGGGACAGGTATTTGTTGCGATGCTCTTTCGACCAACATGTCGTTCATGGAAATCCACGCGTCCACGCGGCTCGGATGCCGCACGCCGATGCACTGACCTTCGCCGAGGGCGGATTTCCCGGGCGGCGACTGGCGCGAGCCGAGCGCGGAGAAGGATTTGGACCCCTTCAGCACCGCCGCAGACTTCCCTGCGACGGCGAAGGCGCCGCGCTGTCGCGCTGGGTCTGCTCCAGGGCTTGGGGGTTCAGTACCAGCCATCCGGTTCCTAAGGTTTTTCCCCGGCAAGAAAGCGATTTGGGGTCGATAGGCGGCGATGGGTGGTTTGGGGCAGTTTTGAGGGAGGGTTCGGGAGGGTTCCAGCGGGTTCCAGACCAGCTGGGCTTATTGGCTTAGTGGTTGGGTGTCCGTATTTAACCCACTAAAAGTCATTCACTTTTAGAAAACGGGAATCTGAAAACGGACAGCCCAGCCTGGTTTCTTACAGTCAAATCTGTGGCCCCAGAGACTCCCTCCCTTGGATAACAGGCGTCTCTTTGCGCAATCTGTGCTGTTCGCGTCTTTGGGGCGAACAAATCCCCATATGTTAAATGGAGGTTTGCACCACTTAGATTGGCGTGGCCATTGAAGTCCGTCGCATGTCAAGCCTGAACATTGAGGGACCCGTTCTCGAAACACTATTTTAAGATCCGGTGGTTCCCGTGTAAGCCACCATTTGTTGGTGATTTTGCGGATGTCTTTCCAAAACTGACCCAGTTTCCCTTTGGTTCAAGAGAGCCCAAGCAGGGTAGCCTAAAACCACATATATGCAGGTCCCTCTTTAGGCCTTTGATCTCCTGCTTGTTGTTTTCCCTTGGTTCAAAACATGAATCGTGCCACATGTGTCTTTGGTTTTCTTTAGGGGAACAAACTTAAGAATCAGCACACATGCCCAGCATCAAACAGAGGGCTTGGTTGGTTTGCGCGCAAAGCTGACATCGGTGTCTCATCCAAATCCCTTCGTGAACATTTCAGCGTAGGATAAAATAGGGACCAGAATCTGAGCATGTTCTTTTTTGTGTAGCCCGGATTTGGGGCAAGCTAGGCTAGGGTTTATATAACAGCGTGTTTGTCTCCTCAGATGGAACTCGACTTCCCTTGCCCAAGGTTAACGGCGTCCATTCAAGATGTTCTAATAACCAACTGCCTCTATAATGTTTTCTATTGTCCCGAAAGCATTGCAAAGTCAAGTTGCGCGAGCAAGTTGCACGAGAGATTGCCCAGGCTACGCAAGCGTTACATCGGAGTCGTCAGAGGATGCTAGAGCAAGTTGCACGGGTTTTGTGCAGTGTCGAGGTTCAGACACTGAGGACTCTTACTGTTGTTTTCTTTGTCCACGCGACCCTCTGCCGGGTTGGCGTGGTCGATGTTCAAAAGCTGGGGGGCAAATGCTACTTTTGGAGTTGCCCGCGCGATGCGGAGATCGGCATGGTCAATGAAAAAACAAACAAACAAAACACAACCCATCTTTCAGATTCAGGCCAGCGGCCTCGGGCTCAAATCCCCTTGGTCGGGGCGCGCGAAAGTACCACACGCGAAGTACCGCGGCGCAGCTCCAGCTTGAAATCGCAAGTATGAAGCACGAACGTGCTAGGCGATGCGCTGACGCAGCTCCGTCCCGAAAACAAATCAAGCACAAACGCGGCGCGCAAAGCACACTTTCGAAGCTCCGGCTTGAGCATCGCGAATGTTCAGTGCGAAGGAAATCAGTGCGCGCAGCAAAGGTTCGGAGCTTTGGCTCGACTTTCCGCTTAAAGATTGCAAAGGGTTCTGCCGAGACAGTTGACAGTATTTTTGCCGAATGGTTTGGATCGGTCCCGAACGGGCAAGCTAGCACGTGATCATGTTTTGCAAGTTTCCCGTTTGGCGTTACAATTGTACAAACAAGGGGGTAGCAGGTTGTGCATCTTGCTCAGCGTTCGCTGTGATGGGCATGTTTAGTATCTGCTCCGGTTTCGTTTGTGGGAGAATATGGGGGCCTTGCCGAAATCATGCAGCTGCATATGTGTGTGTGTATGTCTTTTCTTGGGGCAACCCCCTTGGCTTGGCAGGAGAAACGCCACAAAACCTGGAAATGCCCAGGCGTTGACTGCAAATGGGCCCCGGTCATGGTTCTCTTACAAACCCTTTCAGCCCAAAAAAGGTTCAAAAGGCGTTCCAAAGGCGTTCAAAAAGGGTTCGCAAGTCGTTCTGGAGTGTTTGGAACCGTGCAGTACTTTCCTGTTGTGACAATTGGGTCGTTGGAAACCCGAACGAGTGCAACAAAAATCCGATCCAGGCATAATTTTGCATATTCTTTGTTGTTTGGTGTTCCAATTGAGGAAGAGAGCAGGCAGAGCAAGTAGCGCGAGGCCTTTCACAGTTTGCACTGGTACTACATTTGTGCATACGCAGTGAAAAATGCGTTCGGGCCACCTATCTTCTAGTGTCTTTTAAGCCTTCCCTATCCCCTTCGCACCATCATAAAGAACGGATACTCCAGCAGAAGCTGGCAGGAGGTCCTCTTTGGACAATGGTCCAAAGGAGCATCGTACCCACTTGTTCAGACAAAATGGAAAATGAGATGCCGGCCCTAAGAAGTGGTCTGAAACGGGGGCTTAGGGCCTTTTGGCTAGTTGGGCAACCATCCCTCCTTTTAGCGAAATCCAACCCGCCTCGGGCAATCTTGCGGAACCGGCTAGCCGTTCCGCAAAACTGATCGAAGCACTGCCGACTTTGGCGCCAGGTACAGTGGGCAATAAGGGCAAGCAAAGGTTGGTTTTCCTGTTGGTTTCCCTTCAAACTTACCTGAAAGAAAAACCCTCAAAAGTCAAACACACACACACACAGACCTCTCAAGTCCTATGATCATGGCTGCCAGTCGTCCCCTTGTGCGGCTCAATACCCGCGGGTCCCCTCCCAGAAATGGTCTTTGACTTTCAAGTGGCTTTGGAGGAAATCCAGCAAATTTGAGGGGGAGAGACGCCGATTTGGTATGGGTACGCCTTTTGTGAGGGTACTGCGTCTAAGGTTGGCTTTGAACCACTGCCATATCTTCTGCAAACATCGTATTTTACGGGCATGCGACAGGGGTCTTCAGGCCTTGCGGTGGGTTACCCTTCTCCAATAGTCATAGGAATGCAGAGGGAGGTTTTCATACAGTACCGTTGCGTTCATTTGTGTTCTGTCCAATTCGATGATTGTTGCAAAGAGTAAAAGATGAAAGGTAATCGAGAGGAGTGTGGTCCATCCAAAAAAGCTCCTGATAAGATATGTTTCTCTTTGGCGGGCTAAACATCAGAATTTGGCTGCTCATTTGTCTCAAGCTTTTGGAACACCGTGACCACTGCCAAACATATGTTGGCTTGCCTTTGGCCTCCCTTTCAAACAACGTCAAAGAGGATACCCTCAACAAAGGGGAGGCGACGTTTTGGGACCAAACTAGGGGTACAAGTTTGGATGTGTTTTGGCCAACCGTCCTAAGAGGAAGCCACACGTTTTTGTTTTTACTTTCTCCTCGTTGGGTTGGACATAGGTGATAGGCTCAGAGCTGGGTCGCGCACTCTTGGAAGGCGGACTTCGGCGACTTCGGCGGCATGGACTTTGGAGGCGCGGTGAGCGGTCTGTTTTGGGTGGGGTGGGTGGGGGTGGGTGGGGTTGGGTTGCGCCCGGCTCGCTTCCCAAGTTCCTGGACTGATTCCAGCAGGCGCCTGTAGGGTACCAAGGGAAATGTCGAAGGGACCGGTCCCCTTCTCAGGTGCCGTGTTGGCGGGGGGGGGGCCTACTTCTCCGGTGCCCCCTCAGAGGAAGTGCTGGAGCCAGTGCCCATTTGTCTCACTTTGGGTACTCCTGTAGCCAGGTACCAACAACTTGACCAAAACCAGGGCTGCTACTGTATCCATCACCTATGGCTACTGGAGGTCTGGGACAGGGCCGAAAATGAGGGTTGTCTTTCTGTTTTGAGGTCCTTCACTTAAGTGAAGTGCGGTTGACTTGAGTGGCATGGAAGCCAAAGAGAAGAAACGAACAAGTTTGAGACTGATCTAAAGAGAGGGATTTAGATTTTGTTCATGTGGAATTGACATTGCCTGCAAGAAGAACACAGTGCACTTTTTGGTCTAGGGATTGCGTTTGCTGCCGGATCCACCTTTGTATTGCTCCGAGTGAGAACAGAGTGCATCGATTTCAACATGGCTGGTCCTTGGTGTGAGCTAGCTCCTTAGACCTTTTGGACACACATGGATTTTCATGTTTATCAGTGAACCTGCGAAAGGCTAGACCTTGTGCTAAGGCTATAGCTACATGTGCGGAAGGATTGGGAGTTGATACGCCTCAATGGCCAACTTACTGCTTCAAAACGGAAGCTGACTGCAGGAAAAACGGGAGAGCTTCGAACGCCCGCTTGGAAGTGGTTCAGCTTTCCTCTGTCCGTTGGACGCTGTGGGGGCTGAATTTCCATAGCCCAACTTAGCAATTCATTCACCACCTGGGAGTTCATCTCCGGGTTTCATATCGATATGAATGACATGAATCCTCGCCTAATGCTGTCCACCAAAGAGTCTCCAGGTAAAAGGTTGACAAACAGTACCCAGTTGCCCAGTGGCGCCCCTTTTTGTTCCTTTCTTTTGGAAGGGTTCCCCTTTAAACTCAACCAACAAAATCGACGCCCCTTTTTCCCCGTGGAAATCCGGGCAGAGAGTCTGGACGTACATTCAGCTTTTCACTTAGGCCTCGGTGGCGGTGACTTCGGCTTCGGGGAGATGGCCGAGATGGGCTTCGAAGGCTTGGAAAGCCAGGACATGCAGCCGGCGGCTCGTCCGGTGAGTTGGACATCACACGCCTTGGGGTCGGACCGATTTCGTTGTGAAGAAGGTGCGGAGGCGGTTTTGGGCATCCACTTGGGAAGCGAGCTTTCGGGCTTTGGCAGGGCTGGGGCGGTTCCTTTGTAGGGGGCTGCACAAAAAATGTTTGCTGCCATACCAAGGGTTGAGCCCAACTCGGAGCCAAGTCGCAAGGGGTTGGTTCAAAGGGACACCGGAAGGACGCGGGAAGGCACGCCGCAACCTTAACAAAGACACACCCGTATTGATTTAGATATTCATACCAAGGGAAGGACCAAACAGGCGCCCTTCTGGGCTGAACGTGTGGGTTTTTTTCTTTCGAGTTGGCTGTGAGTCAGATTGTGATCAAAGGCAAATTCAGCTGGAAACCACCCAGCTAGAGGGTACTTCCTTTCTCGAAGGCTTGTAAAACCGCAGGGCACAACCACTTGGAAGTCTTCTCATCTCAAGCTGCAGGGAACTAGTCTCTTGTTTCTTGTCTCTGTGAAGCGGGGTGCTTCTATTTCCAGAACCCAGAGCGTGCAACGTGTCAAAGGGGAACCGGTGTGTCTCAAAACCGGAACCTGAAACAACCCGACAACAGGGCGCTCTTAGAAAGGACGAGTCACCCATTCGTCGTTTTTGATTTCTCGTTTGAGCCGAAGCCTAACGTCAAGCCGTTGCCGAGGAGAACGTCAAGCACCTGAACTCGGTGGCCAAGTGCGACCGCTCGCTGGCGAAGATGCTCCGGGACGAGGCACGAACGCATCGCTTTGTGCATTGGCGAGATCAATCCAGACCAATCCAAACCCAAGTGAA